AGAATTTTCCAGTTTGTTGTGATCCACACAGTCAAAGGCTTTGACACAGTCAATGAAGAAGAAATAGACATTTTTCTGGAATTCCCTTGTTTTTTCTATGTATGACCCAAGTGATGTTGGCAATTTGATCTCTGGTTCCTCTGCCTTTTCTAAATCCAGCTTGAACATCTGGAAGTTCTCAGTTCACATACTATTGAAGCCTACCTTGGAGAATTTTGAGCATTACTTTGCTAGCATGAGACATGAGTGCAATTGTGCAGTAGTTTGAGCATTCTTTGGCATTGCCTGTCTAAGGGACTGGAATGAAAACTGACTTTTCCCAGTCCTTTGGCCACTGCTGAGTTTTCCAAATTTGCTGGCATATTGAGTGCAGCACTTTAACAGCATCATCTTTTAGGATTTGAAATAGCTCAGCTGGAATTTCATCACCTCCACTAGCTTTATTCATAGTGATGCTTCCTAAGGCCCACTTGACTTCACACTCTGGGATGTCTGGCTCTAGGTGAGTGACCACACCATCATGGTGATCTGGGTCATTAAGATCTTTTTGTATAGTTCTTCTGTGTATTCTCACCATCTCTTCTTAATCTCTTCTGCTTCTGTTAGGTCCATACCATTTCTGTCCTTTTTTTTTCTGTCCTTATATGCAGTGTCCATCTTTGCATGAAATGTTCCCTTGGTATCTCTAATTTTTTGAAGAGATCTCTAGTCTTTCCCATTCTATTGTTTTGTATCATCAGATGGAGATCAGCACAAACTCTTTTTTTAACATTAAGAAAGCTTTATTTATTATTTATTTTGGTTGCACTGGGTCTTTGTTGCAATGCAGGTTCTCCAGTTGTGGTGTGTGGACTTAGTCACTGTATACAAACTCTTACTTGCAGTATGTGGGATCTTAGTTCCCCGACCAGGGATCAAACCCAGGCCCCTGCATTGGGAGTGCAGAGTCTTATCCACTGGACCACGAAGGAAGTCCAGGCACAGACTCTTGCACTAAGACACACATTAAAGAATCACCCCCAAGCAGTGTGGCAAAGCCAGGAGAGATGAAAACATAAAATGCCAAAAGGTTCTTTGGGGATGGCTCTGCAAAGGAGCTCATCCTAGACATGAGTAGGATCCTAAAGAGTGGAAGGAAGGAATGGGGAGGCGCAATTCAGGAAGGTAGAACAGTCTGACTAAGAGACAAAGAAGAAATGAGCCAGGCATGCTGGGAGGTGAGTCTGGCTGGCACTGGGGATCCCTGGGGAAGAGAGTGGAAGATGAAGCTGGACAAGCAGGGCAGGTTGGGTGGGAAAGATGTGTGTGTGTGCGTGCTCCATCGCTTCGGTCATGTCCAAGTCTTTGCAACCATATGGACTGTAACCCACCAATCTCCTCTGTCCATGGGATTTTCCAGGCAAGGATACTGAAGCCATGCCCTCCTCCAAGATCTTCCCGACCCAGGGATCGAACCCGTGTCTCCTGTGTCTCCTGCATTAGCAAGCAGGTTCTTTACCCACTTAGCCATCTGGGAAGCCCAGGAAGGATGTGCAGTGCCAGCTAAAGCACCTGGATTAGATCCACACACTCTGAGTCCGTGGGGTGCCCACCACAGCAGGCCTGAGTCTTGACAGTAGAAGAAGTCCTGTCCTCCTCTGTGAGCCTAGCTCCTCAGCTAGGTTATAAATAACAGGCACCACTTAACTGCACACCTGCTGTGTCTGAGGCCCTAAGCTACATGCTTCACATACATGCTCTCACTGCTCCTTCCAACAGCCCTGAGAGCTGGTATTGTTATCCTCCTTTTGTAAGCAGCAAGGGAAAGCTCAAAGAGGTGAAGGCACTTGCCCCAGGCCTCACCTGCTCACTCATTTACTGAACAGATCGGCTGGTGCTGGGGCTTCCCAGGTGGCTCAATGGTAAAGAATCTGCCTGCCAATGCAGGAGACTCAGGAGATACAGGTTCAATACCTCGGTGGGGAAGACGCCCTGGAGGGGGACAGTGCAACCCACTCCGGCATTCTTGCCTGGAAAATCCCATGGACAGAGGAGCCTGGCAGGCTACGCTCCATGGGGTCACAAAGAGTCGAACACAACTGAACGACTGAGCAGGCACATGGCCGGTGCTGAAGTTACATTCACAGGAATGAGGACTGGCACTCCGGCCAGCTACCTACTTGCCTTATTCATTCCTCAAGGGCAACATTTATTAAGGACATCAGTCAGTCAGTTCAGTCTCTCAGTCGTGTCCGACTCTTTGCGATATAGTAGGAGCCTAATAAACCACCCTGAGTAGAGTGGAGATAGCCGGGGGCTGAGGACTACAGTTTAATGGATGTACAGTTTCAGTTTTGCAGATAAAAAAATTCTGGAGATCTGTTGTAGGACCATGTGAATATACTTCCTGCAACTGAACTGTACATTTTAAAATGGTTATGATGGTCATTTTTATGCATTTCTTTTACCACAATTAAAAACAGAAAATAAACAAAGAGCACATTAACTCATTGATTGGCTGCTGACAGCATCTTACACTGTTAGATATTCAAGGATGGAAGAGACCCTAAAAACATTTTAACCCATAATCATCCAAAACAGAGGACTGGAGACTTCCCTGGAGATCCAGTGGTTAGGACTCTGAGCATTCAATACAAGAGGCACAGGTTCGATTCCTTGTCAGGGAACTGCCAGAAGCCCTAGGGCATGACCAAATTCAAAAAACAAATTGAGGCCTGGAGAGGGGCAGTAATTTGCCCAGGATTGCACAATTAGGCGATGTTAGGACGAAGGTCGGAGCCCAGGTCTTCCAGGTTCAACAGTGAAGAATGACAGAGGCAGCTGGCATAGCAGAAAACACAGCCTAAGGGGTCAGAAGCCACGGGTTCAAGTTCTGCTTCTCCCACTTATGAGTTCTGTGACCTCAGAAAAGTCATTTATTCTCTCTGAGCCTCATTTTCCTAAACTATAAGGGGCAATTTAAAATGACAAGTGCTTGGGGACTTCCCTGGTGCTCCAATGGCTAGGACTCCATACTCCAGGAGGCCTAGGCTCGACCCCTAGTTAGGGAACTAGATCCACATGACGCAACTAAAGATCCTGCACGGCCCATCGAAGATAGAAGATTCTGAGTGCTGCAACGAAGATCCAAAGCAGCCAAAGAAATACACATTTTATTTCAAAAATTTTTTTAACTATGTAAAAAAATAAAAATGTGTTCATCAATTTAAAGATTAAAATATGATTTGCTGCTGTTGTTTAGTCACTAAATCATGTCCTATGCTTTGCAACCCCACGGACCCCTCTGTCCATGGGATTTCCCAGGCAGGAATACTGGAGTGGGTTGCCATTTCCTTATCCAAGAGATGTTCCCAACCCAGGGATCGAACCCATATCTCCTGCATTGCAGGCAGATTCTTTACCACTGAGCCACCAGGGAAGCCCATAAAATATGATTTAAGCAGATAAAAAAAAAGTCCCCTCTCCATTCTGGTTCACTCTCAGCTGTTCCTGGCCTTGCACACAGCAGGTCTTCAATGAGCGAGTATAGAACTGAATCACCGTTCAAGTTTTATCCACCCCAACCCTCCTCCCTCACTCACCCCCTCAACCCACAGCTCAGTTGCATGGCCCTGCCAGAACCCGGCAGAGGGTAGGAAGCCAGTGTGAACGGTCTGCCTCCCTGGCTGCATTCCTTAGCTAAATATAAATGATTTGTCCAGGCCATTGTTTGAAATTGTCCATAATATGTCTCCTCCCCTTCCCATTACTTACAATGACAAGTTGACTGCACATCTTTATAGCAGAACATACATACAGAACATTCTCTGTGGTTATTTTTAGTAAAGAGAGGGAAGCTGGAGGATACGCAGGGATCAGAGCATGAGTCCTCAGTTTTCTCCACTAGTCCAGGAAAGCTTCCTGGAGGAGGAAATACCTGAGTCATCCCAGGGGACAGCTGCCTGTCAGAAGGGCATCCTCACATAACGAGTCTGGTTCTCTGCAGTCTTATCCATGTTTGGGGTATGGGGAAGAAAGGTCTAACCAGCCCAGGGGACCCCTGCTGCTGCTGCTGCTGCTGCTAAGTCGCTTCAGTTGTGTCCAACTCTGCGACCCCATAGACGGCAGCCCACCAAGCTCCTCCATCCCCGGGATTCTCCAGGCACGGATACTAGAGTGGGTTGCCATTTCCTTCTCCAGGGGACCCCATACTACTCTAATGCTTCAAACCTCCCCAGACACTAGCAGCATTGGGGAAAGAGGCAGAGAAGGGACAGTATCTTTTCCAAAGACAGGAGATCCAAGACTCCAGCTCTGAAATACACGACTACAAACACTGCTCTTGGTAAGGAGCCAGATTCTTGTTTGGACTTTTTAATTTTTTTATAACCACAGAAAGTTTTTTAAAGTCCCAAACTTGGATGCACAGATGGGGTACATCCCAGACCTCGGGGCCTGCCAAAGCCCTGTCACTGAGTGCCGACCTGCCAGGGGTGGCCCAAGGGGTGGTCGGGGAGCTCCGGGGCTGCACGCGGTACTCCAGCCCTGCGCGAGCCCCCGGCCCTCCCTGGGGGCGCTGAAGGGACCTCCCCCGGCCGGCGCTGGGTCCTACAGTCAGAACCCCTTGACAGCTCCGGGGCTCCGCCTTCCTGCTGCATCCTACAGACCCCCATCCCTCCGCCTAGGGTTCCGCCGGCCACTCCCGCACCCCGTTCCCGGAAGGTCCTCCTCCGAGCCTTTCTCCGTGCAGACCCCTCCTCGCCCCGTTCCCGGGCCCAGCACACGTCGTCCCCTTCGGGCGGCTTGCCGCCCCCTCACAGGGCGCCGATCCCACCCCTCTCTCAGCTGGCCCACTGCCGCCCCCCACACCCTTTCCAGGGGCGCCCTGGGCCGCTCGCCCCTCAGCGGACCGGGTCGGAGGCTTGCCGGCCCGCCCCCAGCCGGTCCGGGACTGTAATTCTGCTTGTTCCCGAGCCCCCGGCCCGCGGCCCGCCGCCCCGCCTGCCCCGGGCCGCACTCACCGAGCTCCCAGGAATGTGGGGTCCGGCTCGATCGCGCTCGCGCGCCGCCGCCACTGCCTCAGCCAGCGGAAACAGGGGGCGGGGCCTGCCCCGGACTGCGAGGCCGCGGGGCGGGGCCTGCCGAGGGGGTGGGGCGGGGCCTGTCCTGGAATGGCGAAGGCGCGGGGCGGGGCGAGGCCGGGGGTGGGGGCGGGGTCTGCCCGGGAATGGCGAAGTCGCGGGGCGGGGCAGGGCCGGCCTAGGGGCGGGGTTGGACAAGGGGGCGGGGCGAGGCGGGGTCGGCCGGGGAACTGCAAGGCCGAGGGGGCCCGAGCCCGACGCGAGGGGTGGGGGAAGGGACGGAAGCGGGGACCTCGAGCGGACACTGCGGGTGCGGCGGCGGCTGGGGAAGAGGTGCGCGAGGCTGAGAGCGGGGTCTGGGGCCGGGGACCTCCAGCACCCCCGGTCAGATCCCCAGCGTTGGAGTTGGAGGGACTCAGCCGGACAGTGCCGGACTCGGACTCCCCGGGCCAGGCATCCCGGGCCTGGCCCAGGCGTGGCTGCCCTCCGGGAGACTTCCTCCCTTCCCCCCGCCTGGATTCTTGGATCGGCCTCTCCTTCGGGGCACTGGTACGACCCTTGCCCCTGCCCCATGCATGGGCCAGAGTGTAGGGGGAGATGTGGGCCTGGAGGTTCGCGCCCCCGTGCCCAGTCTGGTCCCAACTGGGGTTGCAGCCTTGCCACTGGAGCCGGGTCTTGTACCCCTGCCGCCACACCTAGTCAGGAGACCACGCGCTGGAGGAGCTGCTGTCTGCCTCCCCAAGAGTCATGGCCTCTAAGTGTTGGTAAAGGGCACCACGCGCCCTGAGAACCTGACCAGCAGCTGGACAAACTCAGGTTACACATCTCTGCCCCAGGGTTTCCTATAGGCCTTCCTTCCTGGGCCAGGACTCTCTTTCAAAGTGACCCCTAAACAGCTCCATTACTGTCATAGAAATGTATTCTGTGCTTCTCACGTGCACCATCCCCTGCTAAGTATGATTTGAGACAAAGTTTTTTCAACTGACTTATCACCAGAGTCTCCTTGGCCTTTCCTAGTTGGACTGGCAGCTAGGAAATCATACACACAATCTTATTTTTGTCTGTTAGCTTGAACCCAATAATCCATTGCCTCTGACTCCCCTCTCCCTTCAAACCTTTGTTCAATGCCCCCATAAAGTCTTCGCAGGCTGACCCCCCTGCCCCACCCCACAATCTCTCCAGTCACTAGGACAGCCTTTAGCACATGTAACCACTCCTCCCAGCTTCCAGAAGAGGAAGGTGAGACCAGAGAGGGAAAGGGACTTGATGTCGTGTCCGCTAGGTAAGTGATCTTACCGTAAAAACACTAGGAGCAGCCTCGGGTGGTAAAACGGGGCTTTGGAGCCAGACAGCCCTGGGGTTGAACCCCAGCCCTGCCTTTCATGGGCTGTGACCACTCTAGGCCTCAGTTTCCTCACCTGAGAGATGGGGTTTAATAATACCAATCCAGTAATACCAATCCCCAAACAGTAATGCTGAAAAAGCTAAAGTTGAACTGTTCTATGAAGACCTACAAGACCTTCTAGAACTAACACCCAAAAAAGATGTCCTTTTCATTATAGGGGACTGGAATGCAAAAGTAGGAAGTCAAGAAACACCTGGAGTAACAGGCAAATTTGGCCTTGGGGCTAATAGAGTTTTGCCAAGAGAACGCATTGATCATAGTAAACACCTTCTTCCAACAACACAAGAGAAGACTCTACACATGGACATCACCAGATGGTCAACACCAAAATCAGATTGATTATATACTTGCAGCCAAAGATGGAGACACTTATACAGTCAGCAAAAACAAGACCGGGAGTTGACTGTGGCTCAGATCATGAACTCCTTATTGCCAAATTCAGACTTAAATTGAAGAAAGTAGGGAAAACCACTAGACCATTCAGGTATGATCTAAATCAAATCGCTTATACAGTGGAAGTGAGAAATAGATTTAAGGGACTAGATCTGATAGAGTGCCTGATGAACTATGGATGGGGGTTCGCGACATTGTACAGGGGACAGGGGGCAAGACCATCCCCAAGAAAAAGAAGTGAAAAAAGCAAAATTGCTGTCTGAGGAGGCCTTACAAATAGCTGTGAAAAGAAGAGAAGCAAAAAGCAAAGGAGAAAAGGAAAGATATACCCATTTGAATGCAGAGTTCCAAAGAATAGTAAGGAGAGATAAGAAAGCCTTCCTCAGTCATCAGTGCAAAGAAATAGAGGAAAACGATACAATGGGAAAGACTAGAGATCTCTTCAAGAAAATCAGAGATACCAAGGGAACATTTCATGCAAAGATGGGCTCAATAAAGGACACAAATGGTATGGACCTAAGCAGAAGATATTAAGAAGAGGTGGTAAGAATACACAAAAGAACTGTACAAAAAAGATCTTCACAACCCAGATAATCACGATGGTGTGATTACTCACCTAGAGCCAGACATCCTGGAGTGTGAAGTCAAGTGGGCCTTAGGAAGCATCACTATGAACAAAGCTAGTAGAGGTGATAGAATTCCAGTTGAGCTAATTCAAATCCTAAAAGATGATGCTGTGAAAGTGCTGCACTCAATATGCCAGCAAATTTGGAAAACTCAGCAGTGGCCACAGGACTGGAAAAGGTCAGTGTTCATTCCAATCCCTAAGAAAGGTAATGCTAAAGAATGCTCAAACTACCACACAATTGCACTCATCTCACACAGGAAACAGCAACCCACTCCAGTATTCTTGCCTGGAAAATCCCATGGATGGAGGAGTCTGGTAGGCTACAGTCCATGGGGTAGCAAAGAGTCGGACACGACTGAGTGACTTCACTTTCTTTCTTCACACGCTAGTAAAGTAATGCTTAAAATTCTCCAAGTCAGGTTTCAGCAATACATGAACCGTGAAATTCCAGATGTTCAAGCTGGTTTTAGAAAAAGCAGAGGAACCAGAGATCAAATTGCCAACATCTGCTGGATCATAAAAAAAGTAAGAGAGTTCCAGAAAAACATCTATTTCTGCTTTATTGACTATGCCAAAGCCTTTAACTGTGTGGATCACAACAAACTGTGGAAAATTCTGAAAGAGATGGGAGTACCAGACCACCTGATCTGCCTCTTGAGAAACCTGTATGCAGGTCAGGAAGCAGCAGTTAGAACTGGTCATGGAACAGCAGACTGGTTCCAAATAGGAAAAGGAGTATGTCAAAGCTGTATACTGTCACCCTGCTTATTTAACTTATATGTAGAGTACATCATGAGAAATGTTGAGCTGGGTGCAGCACAAACTGGACTCAAGATTGCCAGGAGAAGTATCAATAACCTCAGATATGCAAATGACACCATCATTATGGCAGAAAATGAAGAAGAACTAAAGAGCCTCTTGATGAAAGTGAAAGAGGAGAGTGAAAAAGTTGGCTTAAAGCTCAACATTCAGAAAACAAAGATCATGGCATCCAGTCCCATCACTTCATGGCAAATAGATGGGGAAACAGTGGAAAGAGTGACAGACTTTATTTTGGGGGGCTCCAAAATCACTGCAGATGGTGACTGCAGCCATGAAATTAAAAGATGCTTACTCCTTGGATGAAAAGTTATGACCAATCTAGACAGCATATTAAAAAACAGAGACAACTTTGCTAACAAAGGTCCATCTAGTCAAGGCTATGATTTTTCCAGTAGTCATATATGGATGTGAGAGCTGGACTCTAAAGAAAGCTGAGCGCCAAAGAATTGATACTTTTGAACTGTGGTGTTGGAGAAGACTCTTGAGAGTCCTTTGGACTGCAAGGAGATCCAACCAGTCAATCCTAAAGGAAATCAGTCCTACATATTCATTGGAAGGACTGATGTTGAGCTGAAACTCCAATACTTTGGCCACCTGATGTGAAGAGCTGATTCATTTGAAAAGACCCTGATGCTGAGAAAGATTGAAGGCAGGAGGAGAAGGGGACGACAGAGGATGAGATGGTTGGATGGCATCACCAACTCAATGGGCATGAGTTTGAGTAAACTCCGGGAGTTGGTGAGGGACAGGGAGGCCTGGCGTGCTGCAGTCCTTGGGGTCTCAAAGAGTCAGACACGACTGAGTGACTGGACTGAAATACCAATCCCATGGGGTTGATGGGATGACCAAGATGGTTGAAGCAAAAGTACAATATTCGATTCATGATGGGTGCAAACATTAGCTTCCCCCTACCCTTAAATGGAAGATAAGCAAATCTGAAATAGGATGATGGAGACTAGGGATCAGAAGAAACCTTAGAAGAATCCCCTCAATAGAGTCACAGATGTAGAGATTGAATTTATGGTTACCAAAGGAAAAACAGAGGAGATAAATTGGGAGACTGGGACTGACATATACATACTAGTATATACAAAATAGATAACTAATAAGGACCTACTGTATAGCACAGGGGGCTTCCCTGGTAGCTCAGCTGGTAAAGAATCCGCCTGCAGTGCAGGAGACCCCGGTTCAATTCCCAAGTGAGGAATCTCTCCCCTGGAGAAGGAATAGGCTACCCACTCCAGTATTCTTGGGCTTCCCTGGTGGCTCAGATGGTTAAGAATTCGCCTGCAATGCGGGAGACCTGGATTCAGTCCCTGGGTTGGGAAGATCCCCTGAAGGAGGGCATGGCAACCCACTCCAATATTCTTGCCTGGAGAATCCCCATGGACAGAAGTGCCTGGCAGGCTACAGTCCATGGGGTCGCAAAGACTCAGACACGACAGAGCAGCTAAACACAACACAGCACGATATAGCGCAGGGAACTCGACTCAATACTCTGTAATGACCTATATGGGAATAGAATCTAAAAAAGAGTGGATATAAGTATATGTATAACTGAGCCACTCTGTTGTATGCCTGAAATTAACACAACATTGTAAATCAACTATAATTCAATTAAAAATTTTAAAATAACATAGAAAGTGGCCACAAACTTCCTCTCTTTCAACACATCCAGAGATGGAGGACTCGTGCCTCTGAAGGGGTTTCCAGCTGGAAGAGGAGCCGTGGAGGATACAGCAGAGAGGAGGCCTTGATGCCTTGAGGTCTGTGGGGCAGACACATGCCCACCACGTCCACCGAGGACAAAACTCAAGCAAATGACTTGACAAGCAGGCAGGACACTCTTTTTTTTTTTTTTTTCTTTGTTTCCTAGCCTCTCCAGAGATGCCATGAACTACCAATATCCTTTAATAAATTCATTTTCTGCTTAAATCACTAAGAGATGCAATTAAGAACATAAACTGATATGAGGACCAAAAGGTAGAATTTTAGACACCAGAGACTGCTCTGTCATGGGAAAAGCCTGAACAGGGCATCTGTCTATTCAGCTGAGGTACTGCCTTAGACTCAGTTGTTGTTGTTCAGTTGCTAAGCCATGTCCAGCTCTTGCAACCCCATGGACTGTAGCCTGCCAGTCTTCTCTGTCCATGGGGATTTCCCAGCAAGGATACTGGAGTGGGTTGCCATTTCCTTCTCCAGGGGACCTTCCCAAACCAGGGATCAAACCTGTGTCTCTGACATTAGCAAATGGATTCTTTACCACTGAGTCACTTCATTAGTATCCAATTAAAGCGACCACTTATCATTGGAAAAGCAGAAATGTGATCAACAAAAACAAGATGGTATCAGTCACCCTGTCTAAGTGACAGGTGCAAGGGTGATGCTGGATGGTTTGGCAGAGCTAATAGGAGAACTGTTCTGGTATGTTTCTTCCACCAGGTATA